TAAAAATTATTTCGTTAATTAGCTACGAGTAGTTGAATATCATAATAAATAGGGATTCAGGCCCTAGACATCCGTATGGTTGAATCAATGACATCATGACGTCAAAACGACGCAATGTGCGTTAGATGTATCAGTTTTATTTGATGGTATGAACAACTAAAAGATTGTTTAAATTGATTTGAGAACTAAAAATTATTTCGTAAATTAGGTACGAGTAGTTGAATATCATACAAACAGGAATTTTTGTCCTACAAATCTGTATGGTTGAATCTAAGACGTCATGACGTCAAAACGACGCAATGTGCGTTTGTTTTATTTGTCGAATCTTGTGGTGTGGACCTTTTGAGACTGTTTAAAAGACATTTGGTTCTTATAAATTATTCCTTGACTTTGCAACATGGCGTTCAATGTCTATGCATCCACTAGTGTTGTTATTCTCGAAAATCCGTATAATTTAATCTATGACGTCATGACGTCAAACAACGACAATAGTGCGTTAGTTGTATCAGTTTTATTTAGTGGTATGGACCTCTAAAAGATTGTTAAAAGTGATTTAAGAAAACTAAAAATTATTTCGTTAATTCGGTACGAGTAGTTGAATATCATTATATAAACAGGGATTCAGGCCCTACAAATCTGTATGGTTGAATCTATGACGTCATGACGTCCAAACGACGCAAGGTGCGTTAGTTTTATCAGTTTTATTTGGTGGTATGGACCTCTAAAAGATTGTTTAAAATGATTTGAAAACTTAAAATTATTTCGTTAATTAGCTACGAGTAGTTGAATACATGTATTATCATATAAACAGGGATTCTGGCCCTAGAAATCTGTATGGTTGAATCCATGACGTCATAGCGTCAAAACGACGCAATGTGCGTTAGTTGTATCAGTTTTATTTAGTGGTATGGACCTCTAAAAGATTGTTAAAAGTGATTTGAAAACTAAAAATTATTTCGTTAATTCGGTACGAGTAGTTGAATATCATTATATAAACAGGGATTCAGGCCCTACAAATCTGTATGGTTGAATCCATGACGTCATAGCGTCAAAACGGCGCAAGGTGCGTTAGTTTTATCAGTTTTATTTGGTGGTATGGACCTCTTAAAGATTGTTTAAAATGATTTGAAAACTTAGAATTATTTCGTTAATTAGCTACGAGTAGTTGAATACATGTATCATCATATAAACAGGGATTCTGGCCCTACGAATCTGTATGGTTGAATCCATGACGTCATAGCGTCAAAACTACAAAATGTGTGTTAGTTGTGGCGTCGTGTGGTGTAGTGTGGCGTCGTGTGGTGTAGTTTGTGGCGTCGTGTGGTGTAGTGGTATATCACTGGACTATGAAACGGGGAGACCCGGGTTCGATTCCGGGTCGTACCCGAACAAGTCCGAACATGCGCCGCGACGTTGTACCCTTGGGAAAGGTACTTTACACGACTTTCCTCACTTCACTCAGGTGAAAATGAGTACCTAGCTTCGGCTAGGGACGTCCCTCGGATAGGACGTTAAATGGAGGTCCCGTGTTTGGGAGAGCCACACCCCACGCACGTTAAAGAACCCACCACACTTATCGAAAAGAGTAGGGGACCTTCCCGGTGTGAGTGGTTCAAACATTACAGTCTGGTCTCAGGTTTGACATCTTTGAAAAGGTGATAGTCACCTGTTATGTCAATCCTTCCACAAATGTGGTAAATCGTCATAAATAAATAAATAAAAGTTTTATTAGTTGAATCTTATAGTTTGAACCTTTCAAAGATTTGTAAAAGATTTTCCGTTATTAAAAATTATTTCGATACTTTGCAAGAAGGCGTCGGATTGAAACATGTTGGGTGCGCTTCTCGACGGCATTCTTGAATCTTTGACGTGAAGATAAATCCATGTGCGTTGATTTAATTAATTTAATTCGATAGTATTAACCACTTAAAGATTACAAAGACTCATTTGGTTGTTGAAAATTAGACGATTATTTAATCAAATGAATACAGAGTCTGAAAGGTTGTGGTTTGGTTTGACATACGTACGTGGAATGTCTATTTACATACTGTATGCGTGCTCATTTGCATATGTGGGACAGTAGAATGCTTCCGCGCCTGAGACGTATCCGAAATAGTGCCTACCATTCGAATCGAAGGCTCAATCGAAGGTTGCGAATCGAAGGCCGAAAGGAGGGCTAACTTTAATGTGGTTATAGACGCTAGCTGTCACCGGATCTGATAGTCCTTATCAGGTACCGCACATATTTGTCCAAAGTTTAGATTTTCAGTCCAAAACGAAGACCGGTCTTCTTAGGTTATCAATCAATCAAAAGGTTTATTTTAGGTTTTACTGATTTCGAAATCACGGGTAACCACGAATGTACAGAAAGCGGTACTATAAAGAAAGCGGTCCGGTACCGGTGATTGGTTCACTGCATCGGTATATCACAGAACTGACCCAGTACTTTTCTTGTAGACACTCTAAGCAGAGTAGCTATATAGATTAGCATGGCTTCTGATCTAAAAGCTCCACAGCCGCCTAATGCATGGTGAATTTCTTGTTGTTAATCGAAAGTTTATCAAGATATATTTATAGCGTGTTCTCCATGATTTATGCTAGGATTGATGTTAACATCGGGCATTATTCGTGACCAGGGAAGCTGAAGAGAAATGCCTTTATATAGTTTATGATTTATGATGATCTTAATTTGCAAATCATGCAAGAGGAGAAATAAGACATTTGTGCTACTAATAGAGTATATAGCACCAAGGACACATATTGTATATTGTCCTTGATAGCACAGGTTATTTCCCGATAAATTTTGCAGATTTTAAGTATTGAAAACCGAAGGACTAACAGTATTGTAGTAAGTGCAAACTCTATGTGGGAGGTTAGAAACGCGAGAATTTGTCCAAACAGGGAGAATATATTTGCCCTGTCATAGGAGCTGACTGTCCGGGTTAGGTCCAGTTGGTCTCCACGGGGAATTGTACGCCGATCAAGCGGCCTGTATCACTCCTGAGGGAGCGGTAACCGAAGAGGACCGATTACTGAACGGTCACAATGGGGTTATAATGGAGGGACGTTCACGGGTGGACGCTAAGAACCTCCAAGCAGATGCATAGAAGGCAAATCGTTACGTTTTCTACTCTAGCTACCCGTTCTATGGGTAACTTCTAACTTAGGAAAACGTGTTTTCTCCGTTTTTAAGTGATTCGCCTTAATGCGGCCTCCCTCCGATATGTTATTGGAGATTACTAATAAAGGAAGGTTCCGGCCTACAGTCTATATAGTCGATATTTCTCAGCAGATAAAAGGATATTCAAACACGCGCTTACTGCGCTTACCCAAAATATAAACTTTTCCCGGAAAAATGTCATCACCGGGTCAACGTAACGGTAAACAAGTGATGTAATGGTGGGCTTGAGTGCCAGTAGAAAATCTCCACCAAACCCAACAGGTTGCTCACAAATAATATTAATATTAATAGTAATGAATAATTTGCCAGATTAGAGTAAGCCGGCCTCAGATTTGCCCTACACATTGTTGATTTCTATAGACTGAAGGAGTCTGGTGGAGATTAATGCTACTATAGTCAGTCTACCTACAGCGCTAGCGTGACTCAAGGACCAACTAACGCGTGAAGAATGCTCTGCCTTTGTGTTCGTCAGCCTTGAAACGTCCTGCAGCAATAAACAATGGCACCACCTGCCTCACACAAAAGGCTTTGTCGTGAATTATACACACCGTATTTTTTCATTCGGGAAGGTAAAGTTCCTTTTAACGCAACTAGACTTTTCTCAGCTGCCATCATGATTGTATGAATGCTGAGCTGGTATTTTGCACTACTTCTTGGCCCTAGGGGAACAGTTGTCAAAACGTTGACAGCGGTGATCTTCGGACTGAATTGGACAGTGTATATATGGAAAGAAATTTACCTTCGCGACATCAAATGACTTGTTGGTCTGATAAAGCTTTTCATGGTACCGTTTCACCACAACCAGTGTTGCATAAAACTGAAAAATGAATGCCGAATCCAAACATCGACCAATCCACGCTTGACTTTTTTCTGAAGACTTACATTTTCACAATTGTAGATCAATGCTTCGGTTTAGAAACAAATTATTCCCATAATACGGCCTACCAACAGACTATCTTACAGCTGCGTCATAAATTGGTAATAAGTTTAAAGCGCCTAATTTGATTTTAATTGTGACGTTTCGAGTTACAGCACCGTGTGAGGTATGGCCGTGCTATCTATTTTTGTTTAGTGATTTTGGATTATCACGTGCTGTTTTCTGATCTGCCGACCACAATTAGAACTAATATGCAATCAGAAAACGCGGCTCATTACTGAATAAGCGCAATAGGCCTGCTTTGGAGGCTAGTGTTGTTGTGACTGGCTCGTTCTCAACAAAGTTAGTCCAGGCACCTTCATCTGCACCTGTAACTGTACCTGATGTTAGTTTTTTTTAAATCTCCAAACAGATTCTGTGGGGCAAGGGGGGTCTACCAGTATATTGGCCGTCTCATTGCATCGGCCGCCCACGTCCAATGGTTACAGGCGACCAATATAGACTCCCCTTGCCCCGCAGAATCTGCTTGGAGATTACTGATGTTTACGATTAGGTACGTAAACCCTAGCCTCTACCAGGCTTGTGGAGGCGGCTGGAAAGAGTAGAAATCGGCCAAAATAGAGAGATAAGCATGCAAGTTTGGCCGCCTGTTCTCTCAACGGCCAAACTCCCCTGGCATGCTTATCTCTCTATTTGGGCCGATTTCTACTCTTTCCAACCGCCTCCTCAAGCCTGGTAGAGGCTACGTAAACCCGTGCATCCCTGACCCGGTTAGCCTCCTTCGCAGGCTTCTGATGGGGCGGCGTTACTAGTAATTTTTTTTCCGGGAGCGACGCGAGTTAGCCGCCGAGGGACGGTTCTGCCGTCGAGGGATTTTGCCATGGGACCGTCACTCCCCGGCAAAATGTCAAATCATGGCTGGTAATATTAAATACAACTGACCTCTTTTCCTGTAGGCTGCATTGTGTTGTGACCTCGGCTTGACTTGCACTTACAGTGGTTATTAAAGAAAAAGTTCCGTGATGAGGATTCAACCTTCAGGGTTATGCCAACGTATTAACAAAACAGTCATGAAAGCACAATTCAAAACTGTTTTTCTTCTGACAATAGCACACTAAAGCCGATAAGACGACGGTACCCTGACCAAGGTAAGGTATTAAAGCACTGTAAAGCACAATCAAGCGAGACGAATTAAAAAATGAAGTCGACCCCCCTCCTAATTTTCTTGCAGTGGACCCGTCCATCCGTCACAATGACTCAGGAGCGACTCAACAGGTAATCCGAGTCTGGCGCCAAACCCTTCATGACCCTTAACCTCCCGGGCCCGTTTATACGTTCATGACTTAGAACGGAGACACGGACAGCCAGGTACCCGTGTACGTACTCCATTCACCCCCGCTTCCCATACCCTCACCCGTTCCTCAAAAAGTACGTCAGAGTGTGTCAGTTATCGGGCACACATCCTGTGCAGGGCCACGCGTTCTCGGAACCAACTTTCACTTCCTCTAGTTGCTGGGCCCAAGCCGACGCGCACGAGGAAGCCCATTATGTCGTCCAAGAGACAGAAGAACATGGACGGATCCAACACCACCAGTGCTGCTACGGTGTGTATTAGACGATAATTAGTGGTCACTGCTCTCCAAGGGTAGGGAAGTACTCGTCTTCGCCGCCCTGACAGTAGTGTTTGTCTGTCTGTCTGTCTCTCTCGTCCTCTTGTCTCTTTGTGTGTGGACTAAACATAGAGTAAGCAAGGCTCCGTGTCGACAGGTGTGTCTCACATTCGAAGCCAGACAGACTTTGTTTTAGCACAACCATGGATCATCGAGTGACTCAGCTGATAAGGCATCGTGGCACATCGGGGTCATCTCTACTCTTGACACAGTGTGATGGGTTCTTTTATGTGCACCTATCTATGTGGGTCCCCGGTACACTAGGCCCAAGGATCACCCGAAGGACGACCTGATCGCTGAACTACAATCCCTTCCAGCAGCGTCCATGATTATGCAATATGCATGGATGTGTATTCCGTATTGGTGCTAAATTCACATTAATTTTGCATATCCAACCCTAATCCTTACACAAATGGCCGGATTGTCCTGTAGTTAACATGAACAACACCTGGTGTCCTAACATTACCAGCCCCATTCTCATATTGCGGCCTCAGGCGCTAATGTGACGCGTCACGCCCACTTCACGCCCGCCATTTGGCTACCCTTTGTGAATTATTTGGTATTCACTTTTTAAAAGTAAAGCAGTGAAGTAGGTGGGGGATACTGGGGCTTTCTAAGATCACCAACCTGAAGTTAGCAGCCCTTTCGGCAGCCCATTAAATCATACAGTCTCCACCAGACTTTATGGGTTGCTGGAAATACTTCTTTAGTGACTACAAAGATCATGATGATAGAAGCAGCTGAATAAAAGATACAAAAATTATGATTTAGAAAATGGCCAATTACAGTTTTCCGATAAGCAAAGGTTTAGACAGAGAAGAATAGAAATAGTCTTCATTCAACCTGTTTATTATAGGGTCAGGTAAAATTAAAAACCAAGAGGTTTCAAAATGGCTAAACAGAAAATGTGCTGTGTCATTCTTTGTCAGCTCTCTTCCCTTCTAAGATCCACTATATAAGCAAGCTGTGTGTTGTTATAGGCATGAACAACGTTAGTCACTGGGATTTTGTTTCCGTAGGAAGTTTAACTTTACTTGGAACATCTTTACTTCCTCATATAATCGTGGATGCGACCATCCAATCAACGTCCCTAGATTCGCACATGGTCAGACGATACCATTAATAGGGGAACTCGTTTTATATAAGATATATTTCCATTTAATATGGAATATATTTAACAGACTATATTGATTAACTGATTCTTTTATTATCATAGCTGTATAACTGAATTTATACACTTTAGTTCATAATTGTTCTGTAGTTACATAAGCCACACGCCCTCTTCAAACAATGGACCGTCCTGTCCAACTTGGGTTAAAGTTCACCAGCTAAAGTGGCCGGTCCTTTTCTCGTGCATGTGTTTCAGGACCTGACGTCTGACATGGCTGACTACCGAAAACCCGACGCCAAAACTCTCCAAACTCTCAAAGATGCCGCCAACCGGCTCCGTATCGACAGCATCAAGGCGACCACCGCCTCCAAGTCGGGGTAAGGACTGTCGTTTTTGGGTTCTTGGGTGATTTGGGAGAGGGTGAAGTCCGGGAAGTGATTTTCGTTTGGGCGGGAAATCAAAATGGCGTTGCCGGTCGTTCGACCCACATGTTACGCCGTGTCATGTCACGTTTCGCCCTTGACTCAGCAATTTTGGCGTCGTTCAATGCTTCAGAGTTTAGAGAGTTTGATGTTGTACTCACCTAGCCATCTAATTACGCTCACATCAAGTGTCAAGTGGCCTGAGGTGATAAGTTTTGAAAAACGTGACCCTGTACAAACAAGGATTTTTGGAAGGATCGTTGTGGAGAATCTTTAGGTTACATAACTAAAATTGTATTGGCAGAAGAACTGATATCTATTTGAATCAGGAAATCACTCTGAGGCATAACTTTATTCAATATAATTAGTGTTTCGTATTTTGTTGCATCAGCATCATTAAATTTGCATTGACAAATTATGAGTTTTGTACACACGTGCTAGGTAATTCTAGTCAAACTATTCTAAGAAATAATCGTTCTGAACAATATTTGCTGCACGTTACCTGGCTTTGCAGATAACACCAAAGCTGCAGTGTCACAGTGATTGTTATTGTTAGCACACCCTTGCCTCAGGCACTTTTAGTGAGCCTTGCACTCTCAAGGAGTCCTGCCACAAAGGATCACATGCCAACCACTGAGCCGCAGGGGTTAGGGTTCTGGTTGAACCACCTGTGCAGAGCTGCAAATCTTAGATTTACATCTTCAGTAAAAACTATGCAAAGAATGCTGAAAAACTTTTTCATCATTTCATTATAGGAAACATTTTCATTATTATCAGACTAACCTAGTAGGTTGCATTCATCTGTCGGTGTCCATTTGTAGTTGTACAACTTGAAAACATGGACATTTCACTTTCAGAATACTCAAGGTGACCTTGGATACTGTAATTTGCATTCTAATTACTTCCCCCTCACTGTGTCCTGATCACTATCTTTTCAACCTCATGTTTTATAGTAGGCTAATTGGGATTTATGTCCGTGCAGCTTTGATCCACTTTTTATTCTAAATTTCAGAGGGCGTTTTCATGACAGTACAGCGAAATGATGCCATGATCTTGTAATGTTGACATGTTTGTTTGTTTATTTGTGCAGCCATCCTACGTCATGCTGTAGTGCGGCAGACATCATCTCTGTCCTGTTCTACAACACCATGAGGTACACCCTGGCTGAGCCCCGCCACCCATCCAGCGATCGCTTCGTGCTCTCCAAGGTAAACAAACCAACAAGTAAAAGACTCAATATCTGTGTCTTACTCTTAGTCTTCATTGTTTTCACAGTAAGGAACTGTCAAATTTGTTGGGTAGACTAGCCCTGGGGGTAACCATCTCTATAGACTAGTCCTTAAATAAACCATCAATGTTAGTGGCAAGAACATCAGTGTACCCAAGGAAAGTGCAAATCCAATCTCACAAACGTTTTGTACTTTGTCCCTCCCAGGGCCATGCCGCCCCAGTCCTGTACGCTGCCTGGGCCCAGGCCGGCCTGTTCCCCAGGGAGGATCTGCTGAACCTGAGGAAGATCGACAGTGACTTGGAGGGACATCCCACTCCTGTAAGGATGTCTTAAGATTCTTCAAGTGTACTTCTAATGCATGCAGAAAGCTTTTGGAAATGAGTAATATCTGCCCATGAAGAGACATGGACAAGAATTACTTCAAGCAAATGACTTCATCCTTTGTACAGTATTCTAGATGGATATTCCTACTGTAACATCTAAGCATTGTTAAAAACAATCTAAGAAAAGTACTTACAAGTCTACAATGTTTCTAGGATATCACACATTTTTAACACCTCAATTCTGACTTTGTACTGTTAGTATTGAATACTAGTATTTCTGACCATCATGTTTGCCATGATTTTGTGTTTCAGAGACTGAACTTCATCGATGTAGGAACAGGTTCCCTGGGACAGGGCCTGAGTGTGGCCTGTGGGATGGCTTACACCGGCAAGTACTGGGACAAGGCAAGGTCAGGACCTACTCTCACATTGTATAGTATTCAAAAAGTGATAGTGGATAATCTTATGTCTAAACATTTCAGTGAAATATCATATTATATTTTAGCCTAAGGAACAATTAAGATTTTGGCTAAGAGGTGACTCCAGGAATTTTGGAAATAGTTTATTGCAAATCATTTTCCTGGCTTCTTTAAAGACTGTTATTGATGAGTAACCTGGCAGGGTATTGTGGCACATCTAAATTGCTGAATTTGTTTGTTTCCAGCTACCGTGTGTACTGCATGCTGGGTGATGGAGAGTCTGCGGAGGGGTCTGTGTGGGAGGCCATGGCCTGGGGCAGCCACTACAACCTGGACAACCTGGTTGCCATATTTGACGTGAACCGTCTGGGACAGAGTGAGCCCACCGCACTTCAACACGAGATGGACGTCTACCGTAGGAGGGCTGAGGCCTTCGGGTAGGGAATCTTTTTTTTGTGTGTTTTTTTACTTATAATGGGACAGTGAAGGTTAGTTGCAGTTGTTAACAGTACCAGCACAGCTTCAATCTTACCTTCACCAACTTGCATATCCAGGTGGTATTCTACATGTATGTCCTGCTAGTGTTACAAGAATGCAGTTGCAAACTGACAGTGACTGGCAGTGTTTTCCCCTGACAGATTTTCTAGCGTTTTGCTGATCATGGTGTATAGTGAATGCTATTTTTTTTTAAACTGACAGCAAAACAGTCAATGTTTTCTCATTCTGTTGGGCATATGGAGTTGTCATTTACAGTAAACTGACAGGCCGAGTTTCTCCTCCCCAGATGGAACACGTACGTGGTTGACGGCCATGATGTGGAGGCGCTGTGTAAGGTGCTGCACGAGGCGTCCTCCGTCAAGGGCAAACCCAGCTGTATCATCGCCAAGACCTACAAGGGCAAAGGCATCCCTGGTCAGTCATCACCCTCTGTTGTACACTTATAAAATGATAAACAAATCGCAAATCTTAAAGCCTTGAAAGGCTCCCTTATAAATGTCTTGCCCAGAAAGCGAAACAGCTCTAATTTGTCACTTACAGTTGCAAATGATTTCAACCTTCTAGTCATACAAAACTTACTGTTGCCCAGGAGAGATCATTCTAATAAACAGTGTATTTCAGGACTGTTTGAGGAGATGTAGAGTATGTTGTTGAGAACCCACTACACTCATTTATAAAAGTTCTTGTGTGTAGGCTGGCATGTTTGTCAACAACTGTGATTTGGTTTGTGAGTGTGTAATAATCTAAACTCTCTTGCAGATGTGGAAGACCAGGAAAACTTCCACGGGAAGCCCATGGGTGACCGTAGTGACGGTGCCATCAAGGCCATCCAAGGTCTCATCGCTGGGGAGAACAGCGTGGGTCCCCAGCCCATGACAGACGACGCACCCAAGGTCGACCTCACCAACATCAAGATGACCCAGCCTCCCACCTACAGCCTGGGGGATAAGGTAGGATTGTTGTTTTTGTTTTCTTGTAGTTTCAGTTTGGGAATAATAAATGTTTTTTTTTGTCAAATACACAATAATGAAATAGTAAGTTGAACAACAACAAAACTTGTGTTGCTGTCCAGGTTGCCACCCGTGCTGCTTATGGCACCGGTCTGGCAAAGCTTGGCCAGGCCTGTGATCGTGTGGTGGCCTTTGACGCTGACGTCAAGAACTCCACCTTCTCTGAGAAGCTGAAGAAGGCCAAACCTGAGCAGTTTGTGGAGTGTTTCATCGCCGAGCAGAACATGGTGGGTGTCGGGATCGGTGCCGCCACGCGGGATCGTGCCGTCGTGTTCTGCAGCACCTTCGCGTGCTTCCTATCCCGAGCGTACGACCAGATCCGAATGGCCGCCATCTCGCAGAGCAACGTGAACCTGTCCGGTTCCCACGTTGGTGTGTCCATCGGTAGGTGTTGCTTTAAGAAAGAAGGTCCCAAATTTCTGAATTTTCTCTACGTACATTTGTTAAGATTTCTTTGAAGAAATGAGAGACAGTATCTATTTGGGCTGATATATCAGTCATTCTTGACATAAAGACTTGTGAGATCTGCCTAACATCTTACTAATCTTAGTCCGATCTTACAAAGTGGGTTGTGGGAAATCCAAACTATATCCTAAATTTTTTTCCCACCCCAGGTGAAGATGGTCCATCCCAGATGGCGCTGGAGGATCTTGCAATGTTCCGTGCCATCCCCGGGGCCACCGTGTTCTATCCTAGCGACGCCGTGTCGTGTGAGCGCGCCTGTGAACTGGCCGCCAACACCAAAGGTATCTGTTACATCCGTACCAGCCGCCCTGCCACGCCTGTCATCTACAGCAGCGATGAGGTGTTCGAGGCTGGCAAGGCTAAGGTCAGTCGATTGTTTGTTTGTTTGTGTAGCACCTGGGTCTCGAATTCCATAGTATGAAAACAGAACCACTAACCATGTTCCATCAAGATAGGGACCAGGTAAATATATACAAGGATTGATTTGTCACTATAAAAGATACTAAAACCCATGATTAGTAGTACAATGTTTTAGTACCACCTGATTGTAACAAGATATTATAGATTTACCTCTATTAGCCCTTGTTATTTAGTAAAAAGAGTTTGTAGTTTGTAGTCCACCTTACAAAAGTTGCTGTACTTTGTTGTGCCAATAATTCCATAATCCAGAAAGACTTCCTTACATTTTTCCTTCTATCTCTGCTCTTACAAACCCTGTATTGATATGCCCATCCTCAGGTTGTCCGTAAGAGTGACAGTGATAAGGTGACCATAGTGGCTGCTGCTGTGACCCTAGTGGAAGCCCAGAAAGCGGCTGATGAGCTGGCTAAGGATGGCATCAATGTCCGTATTGTCGACCCGTTCACCATCAAGCCGCTGGACGTGGACACTCTGCGGGCGAGCGCGGAGGCGACCGGTGGGAGGGTCCTGACTGTGGAGGACCACTACCCTGAGGGTCAGTTTGTTTGTTACAGTTTGCTAAATGTAAATCTGCATCCATAATGTCCTGCCCAGTGAAAATGTTGGGCTTGAATGTACTACATATTATATGAAGGCAGGTCAATAACAAATTGTTTTGTATGTGGAATATTTGCCAACATTCAATTTTGCATGTGACCAAAAAAGTATGTTTGTATAACGTCTGTACTTGTGGGCCATCTACTACTTTGACTGTCTTGTTGACCCGTGTACTGATATGTTGTCAGTTTCCAATAGAGTAAATAAAGTAAAAGTAAAGTAAGCATTTCCAGCCCCTAAGATGAATACAAGGCTTGACTAGAAACTGTTTTGTACAGGAGGTATTGGTGAAGCCGTCAGCGCAGGTCTGTCAGAGTTCCCCAACATCACTGTGAAGAAGCTTGCGGTGAGGGAGGTTCCTCGCAGTGGACCCCCTGCAGTGCTGCTGGAGAAGTTCGGCATCTCGGCTAACTGCATCAAGAAGGCGGTCCAAGAGATGCTGTAAGGACCCCCTTAAGGATGTGCACATACAGCCAAGACGTTATGGTGTGGTATATATACTTTCTCACAACACTTCCTGAAGACATTTGGAATGTACAAAAAATGTGTTACCCACAATTCTCATGTAACTGTAGAATTCTATACAAAAGACACCAGTAACATCGGGTTTCCATAATTGCCAACAAGAAAGTAAACATGGTATCAACTCTTCTTCTAGGACATGTTCTTAATTCTGTCTAGCATAGATTTTTAACAGGTGGAGGTATAAAACTAAAACAGCTTAGGGTCAGGCAGGGAAGGACTATATGAAGATGTCAGAAAAAAAATGTAACTGGGGTAATGTCATAAAAATGATGTCCACCTGTTGAGAGCCACAGAAGAAAAACTGACTCAAAACAAGAGCATGTTACACCTACGTTTTACACCCATTCATACAGTCCTTTCTGTAATGCCCTTCTTAAATTTGGGTGGCCTAAAAATAACCTCGTATATCTTTCTGTGATGTCACCATCACAAGTCATGAGCGGATTGAAATGAATATGAAAGAAAGTCTGTGACTTTATTGTCCTAATGAGCAAGATGTTATGTCAACACTGTAAGAGAATTTGTCAGTGACAGCTCATAGAGCTATAGTAGCAGAGATAGATATCTGGATATGCGGTAGGAAGGATACTAGAGGTAGAAGAGAGTTGGATATTTTGTAGGTACATCTACCTGTTATAGTGATAATGATATCTTCCAATAAATGAATATGCAGCTCTATCTACTTCTTGTTTGTCTTCTCTGTTGCAGCCATGAAAGTGAATAGAAATCTAAAATCCCATATGTATGGCTTCTGGTATGTGTATGGCACTTGAGTGAGAAACCCACAAGTAGTACAACTGTAGTGAAATGGACACTGATAGTCTAAAGAGAGAATAAAACAGTTTATTCTGTAGTACATATAGTTCATATCAAATGTAGGGCAGCTGTCACAGGTAGTAACATATATGGATGATACCCCAGACTCATGGATACATGTAATACCCAGTCATGATTCTCTTGTATTTGGACACACAACAAAATAGAGCACAAATATGGCTCAAAGCCCTGCACACACCAGGAAAAACAAAGAATATATCATTTGAAAATAAAATGTTAGGCAAGTTAAAGTACACCAACAAGATGCGTGCATACCGTATAAACCTTCATAATTAGACTTTTGACACCCAAAAGATTTCTTATCTCTAGGCAAAAAACTCGCTCAGCTGTGCTCAAGCAAGCTATAGAGAAATAAGCCCATTCTTTATCAGCTCCTAGTATATGGCAGTTAACAAAATTGTCTTCACTTCTGAGCTGCACATGATTTTGAACCTTGCTTTGATACTGTCTATCACTTGTGATATGTCCTATGTACGTGGCATGACATCACAGAAGTGGTGGAAGACTGAAACGGTTCACATGATCATTTTGGTTATGTCCACTCACACACTCACTATCCGTGTTTAGATTATTCTGATTATTCCCCATTGTGCTAGGTATTAGAGTTTTGAGCCGTTGCTTCAGTTTTTGTAAGAGTTTCTCTGGTATTTAATTACTGGAGTATAAATGATCTTTGAAAGACATTGAGCTCAAAGCGGCCTACAGCCTAACCAGTATTTACTAAACTTACCTAAGGCCACAAAAAAATATTTTCTTGGTTATTGGACATAAAGTAAAAAATCAGCCAGTGGATTACATGAAAAGGGAGGGATAAAAAGAAAACTAATGACGAATATACATGTAGTGTGCTAACTCTTTGTGTACAAAGGCACAAGCGTTTCCTTTCCGACTCTTTTCATGGTTACAGATTTTCTTTATCATTATGTTTTTAAAATATGAGAACCAACAAGTTAAATTGGCGTGGCCTAAACGGTCCCTGGAAGACTTTGCGAGCAGCCTACAGCGCGGTGTCGTACTGCTGTACATCGGAGTACGGTGGCGGGGGTGTGGAGGGGTCGGAGTCGATACTGAGTCCCCGCGCCAGCTTGTCCTTTGGTCGTAGCTGGTGGTACTGGAGCTGTGGAGTGGTCACCTCTTGCCACCGCTGCAAGGTAGAATAGAAGGTGAGAAAGTTGGGATTGTGAATTTTAATTTGCTTAGAGTGAAGTTACTGCAACAGGTGTGTGTATAAACTGTATCCTGAAGCTTGGCAAAGTTGAACATTGAACATTGAGTGTTTCATTTGTCTCTTGAATCTCTTTGATGATATTAAAGTATATCTACATGTATGCTGAGTGTGAGAATGATGCAAATGGAAACATACTGCATTTTTTTTAGCTCTTTCAGTTAAAGGTAACCCAGAAAACACGGCATTAACATTATCACATAGCCAATTGAAATGGACACCAACAGTGCTAAAAAGTTGAAGTTCCATGCATCATTCCTAGTGTGCATTATTGACCAATCATTAATGCACAGTTCCCATGATTAAGCCAATAGGTTGGTCCTGGCTAAATGATAAACACCAATCACTATTGTCCCTCACCTCCCGGAATGTTCCCTTGGCCTGGCAGATCTTGACGACGGCGGTGACGGGGACACACAGGATGGCGACCACCACCATGCACCAGCCGATACTCTCCGCCCAGGTCGGGAAGTAGTATGTCGCCGTGAAGTGCTTAAACTCCATCGGAGACCACGTCACGCACATGAACAGGAAAATGCCCTGGTGGAGAAAACGGAGACAGAAGTAAAGTCAGTGTTGTCAATGAAGGTTAGACATCCAGGTTAACATTAAAGATACAAAAGAAATCAAGCAACTGGATAAATTATCACAACAGTTGGACATTTCAGATAGCATCCACATCTTTTATCAGGTTTGTGACAGTCACTGGGAATGAATGACTAGGATTCAGTCAGTGATGAAGAAGATGATGTGTGGAATATCCAACTGTTAACAGATTTCTCCAATTGTTCAATTTACTGTATTTTGTATCAATGCATATTTGTGATGATAAAAAGTTTGTTATTAGCTGATAAGGCCACACCAATTTAATTTGTTGTTTCTCGAATTCACCTCTTCATTTTTTCCTGATTTGCAAAAAAAAAAATTTCAGAATCAACTGCAAAATGCTCATATTTTGCCCTTAACAGTTGAAAACAGTCCTTTTCTTCCTAGTCGTTACAGTTATTCCATCTTTCAATGCAGTGGTATCATTAGAAGTTCAAAATTCATTGTTTAAATTTTGAACCAGCCTTTTGTGTTGACTTCATACCTCCTATCGTAGCATTTGGGGCTATAATAGGATGCCTAGATCTGTTTTTATTTTTATTTTTTTTCGCCCTGTCGCTTCATATTTTTCCTGAAAAAATCCGAGAACCAACAAATTAAATTGGTGTGGCCTAAACAGCAGCATTTTGTTTTAGTCACCCTTTATTCGTCTTAATTAACTTTTCAAAGTATTTAGCCTGATTAAAGTTACAGTGGCAGTAGACTTACCACAGCAATAAGAGGAGTGAGGACAGTCCAGCAGATTTTGAACCATGGCAGAGGCTTGTACCCAATCATCAGTTCAATACTGTCATAGAAACGGTTCACTCCTGAAAACAAGGGAGATGGTTAAAAAACAATCTTTATTTGTCAACATAACTATCTAATGCACATTTGCTGCTTAAGGCAACATCAGCAAGGAGAAGGTTAAAGGTCAACTTCAACTTTTTTCTGAGGAAAACATTGAATTCTCCATGCACTGCAAGCACTTATTGCCATCATGCCAAAACATAAGATAGATATTTTATTAGAAACATTGCTGTTTTTCTCACCAAAGATCCAGGCGATGGCCACACACTCGAAGAAGGACATGAAGAGAAGGGAGATGCCGCTGGCAGAGTAGTAGTCGAAGATCTGGAAGACGTAGATACCTCCCTGGGAAACACAAACACATGTACAGGTGAGAGTTACAAAATATATCGATATATTATCATTGTGAAGACAAGTTAATTTATCATTTGCAAGGCAAGGCAAAGCAACACTGGACAAAGTGTATCATGATTATTGCTCCGCTCATCTTTTAAATTTGAATTTGAATTTCAGGTCAAAATCTTCAGCAGTGGTTCCAAGCAATAAGAATTAAAATTGAATGTAAGTGGAACAAAGGTGACATAGATTCATTTCCTTAGGTCTTAGTCAAGGTCTTTTATCATGTAAGCTGATGTTTTGGTTCAGCATCATTCTCTCAAATCAGAGATCAAATAAACTAAAGCTGTACCCCAGTACATACATTTGTGACCATGGTGAGTCCTAACAGGAAGTTGAATATGCAGAGTCCGGCGATGAAGAGCTCTCGGTTGTATCCTCGGCGCAGGTACGGGATCATGTCAACCACAGCGGTCACAAAACCCTCCACACCTACGAACTGTCAAAACAGTAAAACAGTTCAACTTGTTAAATCTACATGGATCCTAATTAGTCTGTGCACATTTGACATTCTCATTTGACCAGAAAATATTGTCTAGTGGTACATTTATGTTATCTAAAATTCTAAAGCAGCACCTGTGTATAGTAAATCTTAGGACTGTAAGAAACAATGTCCTTGACTGACCCTGTAAGGCCATTATACCTGGAAGATGGCAGATCTACTGGAATAGCTTTTGATGAAATCCCCTTACCTGACTGTCCAGTCCGACCAGAATGATCATGAAGAAGAAGAGACATGACCACAGCGGAGCGAGGGGCATCAGCGACAGCGCTCGCGGGTACGCGATGAACACCAGACCCGGACCTGCGGAGAGGTAAGGTTTACTATTTAGTATATTTTACAGCCATAGATACTACTGTGAAATGCTAGTGTTGCTTTTGTGTTAACTTTTTTCGCAAACTCATCACATCCTTTGTCTTACTACACTGTACTACAGTATTGTTTCAAATGCAAACTAAACATACAGCATGCACCTCCTATCCCCTCCTAACACAATATCAAGTCCCCACAAACTTGATGTACCATACCTGAAGCTGCCACGTCCTTGATGTGGAGCCCCTGTTCCTTGGCCATGAAGCCTAGCACCGAGAACACCACCAGGCCGGAGTACAGACTGGTGAAGCTGTTCACTGTGGCAATCAGGATGCTCTGTCTGCACATGGGAATAAACAACACAACAAATATTAACATCTCTTTTGGGCCATCACAAAGACTTTAAGAAATGGTCGTACTGCTTTTTCTGCTCAGCACTCAGCACTTACATGTAAGCATAATAGTACGGACAGCCCTATGTTCCAACAACCTTACTTTTGCTTCAGCTTTCAAATCCTGGTAGCTGTCTACTGGAAAGAGTTGATTTCTTCTTCTTGTCAATGAGATTTAATTGAGAGATTTCTTTCTTGTTATTTTACATACTGTACATTTATCTTTCATCTTACAAAAGTAACTTTTCTTAAAAATATTTCCCAGAAATTCCCACAGTAAGCTACGTACTTGTAGGAGTCGTTGTGGAACTTGTTGTAGCTGCCCAGCGCTGTCATGCAGCCCAGGCCAATGGCATAGGAGAAGAAAATCTGTGTGCCTGCATCGATCCACACCTGGAACACAAACAACAATACCTTCAATTTCCTGGCATAAAAAATGACAATTATCATATTAGCACAAATTCAAAATCTATACATGGTATCTCTGTAACTACACAAGTTATGGCATAGAAAAGTTTGCCTTTTCCCTGCTGCTTCAAACCCTGTAGCCAGTGGAAATTTGGAACCAAAAAGCAACTTTAGCAGGGCAAATTCTAAGGGTGCAACAAGACAGGAGTTTTATGAATAACTTCCCTTTAACGTTACATGCATTCCTGGTTCTGTCCATGGTGCTGAAAGTACTTCTTATAACATACACCCCCTCTAACGTTGCAATGGTTCTGTCCATGGTACTGAGAGTGATTTTTATGGCCTATACACCCTCTTAAACTGCACAATGGTTCTGTCCTTGGTGCTGAAAATACTTCTACTTTACCCCCTCCTAATGGTTCTGTCCATGGTGCTAGAAGTGTTTCCCCTAACATAAGTCCTTCTCAGGTCATCTTTAGGTTGCCCCCCACTATGAGGACAGGTGAGTTCCCCACCTTGTGGTCCTTCAGTTTCTCCCAGTCTGGGTTCAGGTAGAAGAAGAGCCCGTCAGCAGCGCCCTCTAGTGTGACGCCCCGGATCAGCAGGACAGTCAGCATCACATATGGGAAGGTAGCCGTGAAGTAAACCACCTAGGGAAGGGAATATAGAAAGCGACATTAAGTTGTCAGTCACGTGCATTAGGAGAACAACCACACTTTGATCTCCTTATACTGTTTATCTGTTTATCTATCTAACTGAAGCAGGGGTATTAGGCCGCTTGAGTAACAATGTAAGAGCCAGGATTTGAACCTCAAATCTTCCGGTCCACAAGAATGGTTGCTATATAGCTAGTCCTCCAATATCTTCAAACTTTTATAGACTCTGAATCTGACCAAGACGTACCTTGCCAGTGGACTTGACCCCCTTGAAGACGCAGAAGTAGACGACGATCCAGACACAGAGAAGACACACGGCCAGCTCCCACTGCACCTCCCCAAGGTCCTCCACTCCCTCTGACATGTTCAGCACTTTGTTCCTACAGAAAAAAAGTGGCTTATGAGACAGGATTCTTCATGCTTGTGTCAGTGGGATGAAATAATCTATGGGGTCCCAAAAAGTGACCACAATAGCCAGTTTAAACTAATATATATGAAGGCAAACACATACTTCATAGAGCACCTAGTCTGTTTCTTCCTAAACCAATGTCCCATGCAGAAATTGCACATTCTACAATCATAGAATCATTTTTACAAAACTCACTCCCAGAACTCGACGACAGGAGATATCTGTGTGATGTTGGTGGTGTTGGAGGCTGTCATGTTGCCATCCAGGGTCATGTTGGTCATGTTGGCAGCACTGCCGGTGTCTGGCTTGGTGAAGTTGGTGGTACAGCTGGAGACACAAACAGATCCACATTGAGCCAAGCATGGGGAAATGCTGCATTTAACACTGGAAAAACGTTTTAAAATCTTCATCAAATGAACTTGAATAATGCTTTTTATAGCATAACTGTAACTGTACAATGCAGTTCCTTACTACTCTGTGTTCCATGGGTTATCACAGTGTGACCAGGGCAGTACTGATGTGAAGGAGCGACCGAAGAAGTAGGCTGCCCAGTTCAGGATGATGATGTAATAGATGTTCAGGAGGAAGCAGATCACGGTGGTCGCAAACCCGATGCCTGGAACACAGTCAGGGTTAAAATGGGGAAAAGATGTGCAGTTTTACCTCCATGAAATCTAAAACCAAGACTAGAAAGGTAACATTTGCAAAGCAAATGCATAATGTTTACCTTCGCACATGGTCTGCTCTCACTGTTAATTCTTACTCAAACACATTCACATATATGCTGACAGGAGTCTAAATCCCTCCTACTTTAAAATTGCAACATTATGTAACCCAACACCAGTTACCATGGTGAAAGACCATGTCAGACGTCAGTGTTTGGAACAGAAGAAGAGGAAATGTAGCAAAAACAATGTTTTCTTTTGGTAAACATAAGAATAAGTGTCACCTGATGAAGTACATGTATGTAAAACTGTGTCAGTCAATGAAGTCAATGAATCTCACCTTGGAATATGGGGCATATCTTCCAACAGCCAATGCCGCCCTGGCTCATGAACTGGCCCAGGAAGATCTCCAGGAAGAACACAGGAACGCCCCCTGCCACCAGGCAGATGAAGTACGGGATCAGGAACGCTCCTGGGGGGGGGGGCGGCAGACAGACAGATGTCATGAACTTCTCAGTGTTTTAAGTTTACAGTTGAAACAATTCTATAGTACAGGAATAGTTATTGACCCACCAGAAAACTTGACAGACAAACAGACATTATTAGCAAGACAAACATGACAATTGGCTGGTTTGAAATGGTCAAGATTGACTTTTTCAGACAGCTTTATTTACATTGGACATTTACTGTATACCTGGTGTTGTTGACATGTTATTTACTTCATGACTATGCACACCACACTGTACACGTACAGCACACATCCAGACTTTATCTGATTGTACAAACAACAAAGGAAACACCCCCACCCCAGGTTGAAGGACGCTGGTGGTGCTACCTGTTGTTTGTACATGTCCAGGTGACAGGTGGTTTTGCTATGCATGGCTGAGAGAAAAGGTCATGACCCCACACCATAAAACTGGGACAGGCAAACTGAGATCAAAGAGTCAGTGAGAATGCCCAAGGTGAATTGTCTGTATTTGCGAGTTTTCCTGATCTGTCCCTAACCTTTTTATGGCTTATTCCTTGGGTCAAGGCCTAATCTAAAAAAAAAAAAAGATCATAAATCTGACTTTAGATTCTGACTTTTTTGTGGTTTTTATCTGTTGCCATGTAAGGAGTCATTTTTTTAAATCTTAGAACCAACAAACTTGATTCTTGTGGCCTTAAAAAGCTCCATCTGTGATGAAGTAAGACGGTGCTGAACTTGACTGTCCCTGATTTGTTGTTTTCTTTGAAGACATCCATATTTGGAAGTATGCCAGGACAGATGGGGTTGATTAACCCTGGAGGTGACTGTGACCTTGACCCTCCCCTGTAACCTAACCCTGTAGGCAGTTCTGCCAAGTTGCAAAAGGGGCTACCTCAGCTGGGTGAAGGTTAACAAGATACTGCATTTCTGCTGTAAATGTCAGGAAGTCAGGAAGGTCACATCCTGTCTTCTTGTTTTGTATCTTTGTCATGCAAGCTTTCTTTACTCATTTAGGTGTTGTTCTCTCAAGCAATGGCTACTTGTCCTTCTTGGCACAGTCAAAACAAGATATCAGGTAGTGCTGGCATTCTCCTGCTGGGGATAGGGAGAAGCAAGGCAGGACAATGGCCTTGTCAGTCTTTTAGGGTACAAACAAACATGGCCGCATGCTTTTAAGAAGGTTGTGCTCAAAGTGCTGAAAGATCTTGAACACAATTCTACCAAGAAGTTTGAGTTGGACCAAAATGTGTTTGTTTATGTTGACTGAATGTATTAGATCAAGTGATATTTAATATAAGCTACTCACAATATTGCTTGTACAATTTTAATACCTTTGTCATTCCATCAATTTAAGTTCTGTCCTTGTTTGAAGAGGTCTCTCATATCATAACAAGTGAATAAATATTTATCAAGTTAAGAGTAAACAAGGGAAGACCTCTCATCTGCTGATTTGATAGACCCAGGGGGTACTTACATGTCAGAGGAGATGTAATCTGATCTTTACACTTGTCACCATGAGGACATCACTACAGATTCAAGTCATAGGAGATGATAGCAAAAATACCAGGGTATCATTGAAATTACCAGCAATTATATATAGCCAGCCCATTGAATATCCTAGTCTTGTCGTGTTCTATCTATATCCAATTATGTTGATGAATGAATAGATAAGAAATGAACTGGTATCTATTTCAAATTCATACCATTTCAGCACTAGGTAGTGTGCCTAAGCACCACAACTGACCATAACTGGGTCTAATATGCAGTGCATGAATTATGGAGGACACACAATAAGATCATACAAAATTTAATGAAGACATCCCAAATACATGTACTGCTAACGTTATGTTCACTGCTAAGAACATCTGCATTGATGATACTAGTAGTAGTATTATGGACTTTGGGATTTCATGCCCTGTTCAATGCCACAACAATAATCCAATCTTTTGTTTGTCAGATTTTTTAAAGAAAATGCTGAACTTGGAAATCCACTAGGAGTCTGTACCTTGGTACACATAGTTCTAGGGAGGGAATGTATTATCATAATGCAAGTTTTCCTGATGCAGCTCCCATTTTTATCCTGATAAAATATCAGAGAACCAAAGAAATAAGATGATGTGGCCTGAATGTCCAGCATTCCTGCACAGTTGTACAGACAGCTGAACCTCACTAGGTCAGGTTGGACCCTTTCCAAAACATTGACAGCATGCCAAGGGTGTATTGAGTGTCTGCAGTCACTAATATTATCCACTGGCACCAAGAACAGACACAGCCTGCTGGTATTGATAAACACTACTTTAAATGGCTACTGGATATCAGGGATATCCAGTAACAACTGCTTCCATTTTTTTTCTTCAAGTTCATGTACAAGTACACACTGTTAAACCAGAAAAACTACCAACAAACCAAAATTGGCAAAATAGTCACACTGACTATATACAGAACTTTTAGTTTGTAGAAAGTGTTACTGGTATATAAAACATAAAAAGTTCAAGAAGCAGAAAAAAAATCCAGAAGGAAACATGGTAATCTTGAGTGGTATGAGCCTATGAGGTATTATTGGAAGTTACTAATTATAGAATTTGTGCAAACTTTCATGATTGCGCCTTCCACCCCTTTGAACTCTCCACAATGGAAGAGTCCTAGGACTCCTACCAGTACCTATGTGTCAACATTCTATTGTTCACCTTGTTTACCTGTCATCAAAGGAGCTCACACCTGAGTCAGCCATATTGTACATTTGAAGGTTAGATACACAAAACGGCCACCCTAAACCTGAAGTAATTTTGGTGTTGGTTTTACACAGAGAAATTTCATGCTGAAAACCATAGTGATTTGTCCCTGCGCTGCTCTTTGGGTGATATAACGTTACTAGAAGCTGGTTACCGGTTCTTATAGGGACCAGCCTGCCTTTTGTGGTAGTACAACTCGCCACCGTTTAGCCAACAAGTAGGACGTGGTTTTAAGTACATAAAAGATACTAAATGGAAGTAGTTTAGTATCCAAGGTAGCTGCGACTATATCGATCCACAACACTGCATTGCGGCAAAATGCCCCTCAAAAAGTACTATTCTACGTTTGATCAAGGAGCTTTCATCACACTAGGGGATAGTATTAATAGGTGGCCTGAAAACATTTGTAAGACTTTCCAGAGTAATGATCGCATCGTTTGCAAGCGTCCCAATAGCAGTATTCAAACGCATTTCGTCCAACGTAAACGTTTGTAACATTAGACTTGCTCATTTGCAGTGCATGAAAGCATTAGGCCATAGGAGACAAAGCCGAAGTAAACAAATTAACTAACGGGCATGAGAGAAACTCGCATGGTTGAACTTTTCCCAAGGCAGGGCCAGGGTCACTTGTGGGGAATAGAAACAAGCTACGCTGTGTGATTGAAGGCCGCTTCATTAGAAACCGAAAAGCAGTGTACCTCGGAAGGATTCAAGCATGCCGTCGGCGTCCTTGGGTTCAATATCAAAGTATGCTGTAGCAAATACTTGTGACGAAGTGCACATACATTTTGTAGGTACGTGAAGGGTGGGGTCGTTTTATCGTAATAAACGTGACGGTTTTGTTTGTTTGTTTTATTAGTGTCTCCGGGTTTTAAAAGCGTGCCATGCCAGTGACTGAGCTTTTATCACACGTAATATCGCTCCGTTGCTGCCAGTATTGTGTCAGTTGAAGCATGTTGCGACAGTTGCTAGCATAGCTGCTACATTCATGATTCCTGCCACAGCCGCGCCTGAACTGAATAACGTACGTAGCAGCTGCATCAACGATGTAGCGAATGCTGTGATTCTCAGAGTAGAGCCTTTTCGGAAATCATGCAGTGCTAGCGATGAGAAAGTAATAGCTATTTAATGGAGCTGGTTTTAAACTTGGACTTTGCTCTAACACACTTTGCCCTTCCCACACCCCTCAGCAGTGTTACGTGCGGGAGTAAGCGTTACCGTCTCGCCTTACTCAGGTGTACATTAATGTTAGATGACGTCTTACCTCCGCCGTTCCTGTAGCACAGGTAGGGAAACCGCCACACGTTCCCCAAGCCGACGGCGAAGCCGACACACGACAGGATGAAATCCACCTTGTGTCCCCATGTCGGCCGCTCCGATCCTTCTTGTTTCTCCGGCGTTCCCCCGGAGGCGGCGTTGCCCACAGTCATGTCGACCCCTTCAGGGTGACGGGCGTAGCTTTCCTCTTTTCCCGCCATTCTCGCGCGGCTAGAAAATGTCCCAAAACACCTTGATAGACGGTATCTTGAAGAATTTCATGTAAGAACCGGGGGTGCGACCGGCGGCTGCCGTTTGGAAGCAGCCGATCCTGGAGCGCTCAGAAATAGCGTGGAGCTCAGCTAACAGCCGTTATGCGATCCCGCGAACATGAGCCGGCTCACCCCTCGCTGTGGGGTATGACGTCACAGAGGTTGTGTGAGTTCATGTTTTATGGCGGCTTGCCAAGCTACGCTGTGATTGGCAAGTCCAACCTTGAGGACGATTCGTTCATAGCAGCTGTGGAAGGAGATATGCATGTCTTCATATCCCAAGGGCGTAAAGTTTGCCTTTATGTACCTATGTGGATGTGTAACGTTATGAGTCCGTCTGTATGTAACGTTAGTATTTACGTTACGTACATTTACAAAGTGACGTAACGTATATGCCAATGTGTGTGAGTCTGCCAATGTGTATCTATGTATGGGAATGAATGTGTGTATGTTTGTGTGTCACGGTGCATGTGTATGTGTGTGTGTGCGCGCGCACGCGCGTGTCTGTGTGTTAGTGTGTGCGTGTGCGTGTGACGGCGTGTGCGCTTGTGTAATTCAAAGCAAACACTTCAAGGAGGCCCGCATGCAATTTGGGTAGTGATCACGAGTTACAAATAATTCCGGGTGGTGATTTCGAATTACGTTAAATTTTCATTTGATTACGAGTAATTTTAGCGACATGCTCAATCTCCTCCCAAGGGCAGAGAGAGGGACGTCAGGTCGGTGTTTGCGCTGCACCGCTCCCGAGCTGCCTACAGGGGGCGTCCCGACAACGCTACACGTCCACCATGAATTCAGAGGGACTGCCAAATTCAAATACATCATGCCATGAAACATGACCACCTAGGGGCTGAACGTTTCCGTTTGGCTGGTAATTTTTAGAAGCTTGAACGTGACAAAATTAAAGCACCTTACATGGAGGAGGAGGCCATGTGTGAGGTAATAACATGCAACTACTATCTAGATCTAGATCTAACCTGTTTGTTCACTCAGATGAGTCACTGTTGAACCATGAACTTTGAAATGTCTGACATGGGAGGGGCCATGAAATTTCAGCCCGATCAACATCATAGCTTGCTCATGAATGAAGCCTTTCGAACGTAACCCAGACGTTGAAACATCCAGAAGCATTCAGCGAGATCTCGAGAGAAGGCCTCTGTCGACGTCACTAGTTCAGTTCAGTTCAGTTTACTAGCATGTACACAGAAATTGCGACATGGAATTTGTTGAAAGTTACAAGGATAGTATAAAATGCAATAAAAGAACGAAAACCTCTCTTAATCTTCTATTTTTAGAGTTAGCAGCCACTAGCCTGGGTGCCATTTTCCGCCCGCTCCCTAATGTCGCTGGACACCCAGGCTATAATCAGTATCACATAGGCGTTTCCCCGACGTGACATGTACTATGGGTGATAAAAGTGTAGCTAGGTAGTGTGGTAAACCTTACTTAGTGATTTAGAAGTTGTATAGTAAATAAATACTCACCTGTGAGGCAGAAATCTAACAGCAATCTTAGAGATACACAGTTCGCATTTCAGTGCTGATCCGCCACAGAATCATTATACATGTAAAAATGAAGTAGAACTTGTCTTTCTACTTCAGCCAGGTGTAGGTCATACCAATGAATTGTCAAAGCGTCTCCTCTGACATGGAAGTGGTTTTGAGCAAATACAATGTAACTTGCCCTTGAGTGAAGCATACAGTGTGTTGTGATTTTCGATGGTGGAGATTTGTATTTCGTGCATCATATGCATGATATTTTGGTCAACAACTGTTTGGTAGAGGGACAATTATATATCAGATGTAGTTCTGCGTTCTTTTAATGCCATTGTCGTAATAAGTTATTAAGGAGATGAATGCTGTAGTCATGGCATAGATATCTGTATTTTTTAACCACATTTCTAAACTTACCTGTTCCTGATACCATGGCGTCGCCAAAAAAGTTCATTCACAAAGAATGGTATCTTCATAGAGAACGAACGCGATAAAATTTGGCATGTTGGTAGTTTTAGAAGAGGGTTAAACACCTTAGCCTGACCCGCAGTTGTTTTTTTTTTTATCATAATTACCTCCGCCGTTCCGGTAGCACACATAAGGAAACCGCCAGAAGTTTCCCAGGCCCACGGTAGCGCCGACCAACACCAGGACACCGTCCGCTCTGGAGCCCCACGTCGGGCGCTCATCGGTCTCTTCCTGCTCTTCGTCCATCATTCTGTTGTTCCTCTTAGGGTCGAAAAAAACCGTGGCCTCCATAGGGTCCCTGACAAAATAACGATCGAGTATTTAAGCCAAGGCAAACTAACTAGGAAAAGAAATACCCATGGACGTACTAGTATATCTGACCGCCGTTTGACCCCCCCCCTCGGTGCAGAAATACGAGGCGATTATAAAACCGAAACTTCTGGCAGAAAACTTAAGGTTTCTGGGTTTTGGTTAGAACCTCACCAAATCCTTGCGAATAAACTAGTCTAAAGCAGTCCAATACAGTTTTAAGTAAAGACGACTTCCTCTTAAAATCATACATTTCACTCTTTTTTTTCATTTTATCTTGTTAATATGTAAGGAATGATTGACCTCTTTAATAAGAGAAATAGTTTTGAGACCCCAAGCGTTGTTGTCTGCTCCTCGTGACGGTTGATACTCCTATACTGTACCGAAGAAACGAATTGTATCCAACTTAAGAATTTTTTGCTTTTAATTAATTTGTTTTCTGACCAAAATCCATCTTTCAAGAAAAAAGGAAAACAAAAGGAGAATTGCAACTCATTTGCCGGACCTTCAGACACCATGATAGACAAAAGGCGGTAAATTTTCCAGTTCACGAACGCCGGAAAATATTTCATTGCAAACGTACGCACAAAGTTCGTGACATACTAGAAGTACAATATTTCGTTCAATCAAAGAGCAAATGTCTGATTAATGCCTACCTTTCGTTTGACGATCTTGGTTCTGGAAAGACTGGCTGCTTCGTGGCAAACAGCTCCGGGTATGGCAAAGCCTCCGGATATGGAATGACAAATATATTCCATCAGCTGACACTGACGCGCGAAAACTGTGGCCTCATTTTAGAGCCAAAACACCAGCGGCGTGTGTCCTCAGCCAAAGAAAGGAAATTATACCAAACTTAAGCAAAAGGCAAACCATGAAACACTTCATGAACTTGACACTCCCGTGACACATTACACAAAATAGCCAGACTTTTAAGCTGCTGCATATCGTAAGGTACGCTGTCGCAACTTCTCACCTCTCTAACTTCATTTGACTTGAAATCAAATTACAAATATTACCACCCCCTCACCTCACTCGACCTCCCGTACGTCTTTTCTTAGCAAAAATGGCGGTATGTTGTTAAATATTTTCGTCGGCCGAAGGACACGACCTCTCAACCTCCCACTCACCCCGCTAAGGTCTTATTTCCAAACCGTCCGGGGCCCGATCGGGCTATTAGCGTAAATAAGAGAAATAAACCTTCATGGTTAATGTTTTACCCCCAGGTAGTAAATAAGATTGTCATTTGCATTAATAAAATTAGTTGATAATATTCTCCACCCAACGACAGTCTTATCTTAACAAAGAAGCCATTCTAGCATTTCCACAAATTATGCAGTGACTGAGTGACCAAAGGGAGCAATCATAGATACATGATTCAGCAATAGAGATCTTTATTTTTCACAAAATACGACACAGGGTCATGTGTCCACTTACAAACATTTAAAAATACAGTTGAGCTCTTTAGGGACGACAGAATGGTTTAGCGAGTTTGTAACAATGACGAGCACGATACAGAAGAAATGTTTTCAGTCATGTCATGTTTCTAAAGTTTCCGCTTACCGACAGATATACGTTGAAATAAACTAGACACAAACTATAGAGCCAGATCAAGTGATCTAGTTATCGTTCATGCCGTGTGACTTTACTAACGAAGAAAAGAGAATAAAAATATATACTCTCATTTGACTTATAAAGAGAACATCCTTACAGAATATTAGGATTACAACTCAACAAAAATCATTTGTCTGTCGTCAAAATAAATTGTGAAACATTTACGAGTAGGAAATTTCACAGGTGTCAATTTCACAGTACAATGAGACACATTTGGCACGATGGCAATGCTGGACAGATATATAGGCATTCATTTTTCCACAAAAACGCACAAACGTTTCAGAGTTTTTATATATCTAAATAGAGGGCGCAGTTGTTAGATGTCGACGGTTGACGTTGCTCTCGTGGTCTATTGCAGCAGACGGCTGATTGGTTGGTCTCTCTGACGTCATTGGCTCACTCCACCAATAAGACTTGCGATGCTGTAGAAGGAACAAGACATCATTATTACACACGTTTCAGAAAATGTTTCAGTAGATATCTTGAACGATAAACATGACTCGTACGGAATTAGATTCCTTTTTTGGACTTTTCTCCTTTCTTTAACATGTACAAATCGTTGTATTTGGCTACAAATGTGTGGGACAAGTACAGCTATGATATTAGGTGCAATGCTTCATCACGGTAGGATACAAACCGCAACATACCACGACACGCACACACACACATATACACCGGCACACACTCACATACATATACAGACAGACAGACAGACACAGGCACGCAGACAGACACACTCACATATTCACACAGACAGACGGACACATACATACACACACTCACTCACACATACACACGGACACACACACACACACACACACACACACACACAGACAAAATATGCCGTACTTGTTGGCCATGTTGTGCGTGGTGTCGGCGTTCCATTTCTCCAGACTGGTGGTGCTGGTGCTCTTGGTCATTCCGCGCTGCTTCATCTTCAGCGCGCGCAGGCGCACCATGTTGGGCGCGTTCTTCAGCGTGTCCAGCGTCGACAGGGCCTCGACTTCGTCAAGAATCTCCTGCGGTACCTACAGAAACAGACAGGGGGCTCTCATTCATACCGAGCCATCCGACTCCTCCAATGTCTCCTCTGTACATTGTACCGTTGGCTTGTTGAATCAGCATTCAGTAGCTGACCAGTATGTTTCGTACGATGTCATGGCTCATAGAATAGCACTTAAGCACCATTAACTTGCAATGAAGTTTCTGCTTCTGAATAGGAAAGAAAATTCTGTGCCAAAATGTTTTATTGGGTGGTAATTCTGGACATTCGCACCAAAATGTTTAACAGCTCAGATATTCAGTCATGATCGGTTGTAACCATAGTGCTGTGACATTGGTGTCAATTCTTATCGATCTGCTACTCATTCATTCTATGTTGATGATTGACATAGAAAACAAATTTTAACTCTCCAGATAAACACAAATCACCGTCATTCACTGAGATGCCACGTACCTTGAACGGTTTCATGGACGCTGCAGCCAGTCTGAGCGGCAGCCCGAGCGGCATCTGGTCGCGCATGACGGGCGAGCCGACCCGCATGGCGTACTTGTTGCGGGAGTTGTCCAGCGGGTTGTCGCAGATCTTCTCGTGCATGGACAGGAACAGCGGGATGTACGCCATGTAGTCCAGGAACGACACCTGAACAAACGAGAAAAAGGTTTACATCCCGACACAACAAGAATATACAGCGGCAGAGGACACACTTCAATATATTCACCAAACTGTCTGTACAAACTCTGCCTTAAGTTATAAGACTTGTGACGTGCATCTGTAATCCCAAACCGAAAATGAGAATACATCATTTAAAGGCATTGTACTGTATATGTAGATATTGTTTTCGTGTCGTATGTCACTGTACGTTTCTCTTGTGCTTAAAAGAAGAACCTATGAAAATACCCAGAGTCCCTCACCTCTCTGTACTCGTTGATCTGTATCCGGGACATGATGTACTCCTCCTGGTACCGGTTCAGACCGCCCGCGATCAGCTCGATCCGGAGAGAGTCCGCCTTGATGTAGTTCGCGCTGCGGTCAGAGTTCACGTTACAGTAGAACATCGCCTGGAGGGAGCAGCAATAGTCGTAACTCGTAAGTAATACTAGTCATTTCAAATTTGAAAAGACATCATGAAGTTCAGTTGAAATTTGTAAGACTAGGATGCCACAAGTGCATGAGCACATGTGGGGTCTGCCTATCATTATTACAACGCAACAGTGTCGCTAGATGGCGTTTCAGTACCTTGTAGAGCGCCATTTTCCTCTCGATGTCCATGAGGTTGGTCAGCTCCATCCAGTACCTTTCCTTGTAACTGTGAAGATCAAGAAAAGAAAAATCTTAATGACAAAGTACATAGCATCTATTCTATCATATATATTCACCTCATTAGTAAAATTAGTGCTTTTCTTAAGTAGGAAGTAAAGCAGCTGATATGATGTTTGAATAAGCGTTTAGAGATATAAAGGATATCAAAGCTCAAATTTTTTCATGTTTCTAGCTCCGGATGACGTATAACTTACTCTAACGTGCACATCCGCTCACACAGGGCCGCGATAACTGCAAACATTCTGAAGGTCACGTGAGTGGAGTCGTCTATACCGAGAACCTGGGGGGGGAGAGAATGACGTCAAGATTTTAGATAAACTGATTGATGGTTCTCCTGATGTAATACATGTGAATATCGAGTGATACTAAAAACATGATTTACTAGTTGTGTAGTTATATGAACGTCTTGATTTTCTCAGTCGTTCCTTTTTATCGTCCTACAGATGGCATATGTGCATGTGTGACACCTTTGTGGAAAAGTGATGACAATAGTTGATCTTACCCTGAGAACGTAGTCCGTCTGTTTTCTAGACACGTTTGTGATGCTCTGGATGCCTTCCAGGGCGATCCGAGTTTCCTGAAGGGAGAAACAGAAACGGCAGGTGTGAATGATACGAATACAAAGACAGATAAAACGTGCTCAATTTTAGGGCACTTAAGTATTCACAGGCATTTTGAAAGCATGTCAGATATATGAATACTGCCGTTAAGAGAAACGTTTGGCTCGGACAAGCACACCTGGCGGCACTTCAAACATGAATAGGCAGGTGCCAGACGCCTTTATCTGGAGGTGAATTATACTGTGAATCAATGTTTGGTACAAACAAATGCCGAGTCAAGGGGAAAATAAAAATGACATCAAGAATAGCATAAGAGAGGCTTTCAACACGGGTAAATGGGTTGTGGCACTACACATCTATTTCTTAGTTTGTTCTACATAGACAAACTTTATTCTGGCTTTATTCACTGGACAATGGGCTATTGTCGGGTTCGACTACATAAACATTACACACTTGCATGTGGTTTTGTGGGACCAATGATCTTTGTCAGTGGGCTTACGAAAAGAAAAATTAGAAGCATATATTGGCTGAGAAGTGACATGTTGTTAGACACCAGGGCTGTACATGTACATACCTGTAGGTTAAGGATGTTGTCCTCGTCCAGATCCTCCACGATGAAGGCCTTGGCGTACCCCTCCAACTTGTTCCGGTCAATCAGGTGATAATGGGACAGGAAGTCTATCGAGGAGTCTGGAAAATACACAGAAAATAGCATATAGATATATTTCCTTAAAACATGTTCAACTGGCAGAGTACAATATGCTCTTTTTCACCAATATTTCCGCAATCCTAAATACAGGAACATGTCTAGATCTAGACATGTAATGATCCTTACAGTTGTCAATAAATGTCTATTACGTAGGTGAGAAAACTGTCCCTCTCGAGATGTATACTTCAGCACATTGGACACAAGTCCTCGTAGGATGAATACTGCATCCATCGCTACCACACTACCCCGGTACTCACCCCTCTCATCTATGTCCGTGAGGAACATGTCGTCGTCCAGCTCGCAGGCGGCGATCAAGTTCTTCAGCCGCTGCAGCATCTGTTCTCCGCCCTTCCGGAAGATCTGGTTCACCCTCCGCAGGCCCGTCACTAGTTTGATAACAGTGGCAACCGACTTAAAATTGCGATTCCTCAGACCTTTCAACATTTTTGTTACTTATATTGTATCCACACACAAAAGAAAATAATCAGAAGTTATCAAGATGTTGGTGTCAGAGAACGATTTTTTTTCAAAGAGCAGACAGTGTTCTTGTGAACTTGCTCGGTGGGCCGTATGGCAGATTGGCATCTCGGCGTTTGATTATGTTATAACGATCTCGGTTTCTAAGTGCATTGTAAAGATGACTAGGCAGTACCATTGAGCAATACCATGGGTGACAAAATTTCAACAAGATCATCTTTTAATGGTAAATGAACCACTACAGAGTAACGTCAAAATATGTAGGATATAGTTTTAGAATTAGAATTGTTATAAATATATTCCGCTCAAACTTGTACCAAAGCCTCGCTTTTTAAATTTGTACATTCCCATTTCTTGGGTTGGATGTTCCAAACTAAACGTTGTCAGGCTGGTATAAATTTTCCTGAGCTGCGTTATGACAGATGAATGTTTAACCGTTAATCAAAGCCGTATTTGCGTCATCTCAGACTGTAGTAACACTGCTTCCTTTGTACGGCGGTGTCTTCTGTTGTTGCTATTGATAGAGATTTATTCTTTTTCCAATTCTTTCATGTGATTTGTGTCTAGAATTTTCAATACAGGTTTTCTAATTTTACTCAGTTCACACCTTATGCATTCTTTAAGAAAAAGGTCTCCATGCTACATTTTACTCTTGAAGGAGTTGATGTTTTGTATTATTCGTGCAGTACAACAAACAGAGCAAGGATGACTGATGGTCGACAGTTTAAGGCTCATGATAGTGACGTCATTGTGTTGACATATATGACAGATTATTCTTGCTTTAATGCACACTACGTCATGTGAAAATATATCTCGCTGTCACTGTCTAGTTAGACAGTAGTAAATAGAAATTACATTTTCTTGCATACACGCTTCTGTTGATTTAGTTTCTTTCAAACATTCATTATATAAAAAAAATTAACCGATAATCTGCTCTCTCCGAAAAATAGAATGGCACAAAATAGAATGGCACCGTCCGTAGTACCACCTCACATGAACCTATCATTGGTAGAGACATTTATCAGTTTGTTGACTGACGTGACGTGAAGACAAAAGCGTTACGTTCTGCTGCTGTCAGTCGTGATTCACGGCTTTGGGACAGACAATGGACCAATGAGAAGGGCGGACACAAGGTCGGCTCCTGTGTCACATGACTGGGTCCTTAGAATTTTGATTAAGACTTTGTTTCTGAGTTTCCATGGAGATGGGTATAATGGAATTTGCTTAACTCTTATTTAAAGGCATCCAATGTGATTTTTCAAAGCCAATATTCATTTATCTACATATTATTGAGTTGAAACCACACTGTCCCAATGCAATGTATATTGACCGTCATGGAGAAAAAATTCCCAAAATTCTGCCGGAAAATGGTTACTGGAAGGGCCCTGTGCTGATTTTAGGCTATCACCGAGAAAATAAAGGATTCATATTGGGGCTTGTTTCTGCTGTTTTAAACGCCCAAAGTATGAAATGCTGACTCAAATGTGCTGATGTGAAGCAGTATGTGCCAATATCACGAAGTTTGCCTTATTAAGAATAGTTCCAATTTTGCTGCCCTGAAATCGCATTGGGCGCCTAACTTTAAGACATTTCCAGAAAGTTTGCCAATTGTAAATATGATGAATAATTTGAAAACTCACGTGGTTCCTCCTCCCTGCCGGGCGGGCCTGTCCCGGGCTTCCTCTTCAGGACCTTGCGGACAGTCCGCACCACGTTCCCCTCCTCATCGATATACTCCTCAACTATCTCCTCCTCCTCGTACTGCAAAACATCAAACATGTTTGTTAAACGCTTCAGAAGTGCATCTTGCACTGAAAATCGTTTTAATCATGATGGTGTGTTTCAACGAACATCAGGTTTTTGCAAGTTCAAAACTGGAAAGCAGGATTAACATGTGGATGCTGCTATTTCCAATTTCGTTCCAAAAGAGTAAAAAAAAAGTTGGCATTTAGTTCCGATTAGTGTATTTTTACACAAGTGTTAACATTATAGTCGCCCTTAAAACTGTATCCTTTGATGACCCACATCCGCCGTGCTGTCCCTCCGCTGGGCGTCATCGCGGCCACACTTCTTCCCGCCCGGAGCTTCATTCTGCAGCAGCCCGTCCATCAGGTCCTCCAGTCTGATCACCCTGCTGCTGGGGAACAGGGGGTGTTCCTTCATCCTCCGTCTCCAGATGCCGCGCCGACTCAACATCTTAGAATTTCACTTAGGACGCGAAATCAACACTAGAACAGCTGACTACTGACGTTTCTGTAGTTAGAAGAGTGACCAATCTGGTAAACTGCCGTCGTTGCTAGTGAACGTGGTATCACTCTAGATCGGTGTTCTCAACAAAAAAGACTGAAGACGTTTCTGACAGTTGAAACTTGACCAGGTTCCCCACGAGTACTGCCGTTATTTGTCTGCTGTCCGTTCACTGGTCGTGGATTAAAACGCCTCGAAGTCTCTTTTTCTAATTCAGAGTCGATCTCCACAAGAAGTCTGCCGTTGTGTAGTTCTTATGACTTGTTACGAAGTTGGACTGAGCGTCACTGGGTTTCTCGTCAACACCGTCGTTGTTTGTTGATAGTGGTCGTGAGCTTGGTGGGCAAACTTGGCCACATCGCGTGATCAGCACACCGACTTTGGAGTCGTCTGAACACGTCCCCAAATCCAGTGGACGATTACACGTACTGCACTGTATCTGAAGCTAACTGTCCCGAAATGGCAACATCTAATCAAGATTCTCAGGTCTTCACAAAGCTATTTTCATTCAATGACCACGTTCAAGATCAGCCTAGGAAAGGTCTTCTTCGGACGCCTTTAAAATCCAAATACTGTGGTAACCAGGCAACCAAATGGGTGGGAAAGACATCCTTTGTCAAGGGTATCTACCCTGACCTTTGCAGTATTCTCCTGAGGTCAAAACTTCAAAGCCACAAGTAACAGAAACTACCGGAGACCGTTTATCATCGTTTGTGACAGATTGCAAAAAGGAAGGGGGTGACAATCTGTCCTTCTTTGCAGTATCATTTTTTTCGCATGATTTTCAGAACCATGCATAAAAAATGTAGAATTGCATAACTTTGATGTGAATATTATGCTTTTTTGACAGAAGAAATGTCTTCATTTTTTCAAATATTTCGCTCTGTATGTTTTTACCGAACTCTATTAACATAAATTTCATGTCTTATGTGTCGGTGAATATCATGTATGAATTGATAATGTCAGTATGTATGGCTGTGGATTTCTGTTTCTACACTTTCTTCTTGCACAAACAATTTGTGATCTAACTCACAATAAAGACATTGTTCGTTGTTCCCGGTTAATCCGTTGTGACTCCCCGCGCTATTGTGTGCCCGTCCTTGTACTGTGAGAGTTGACAGAACCGCCGCGATGTTTGCCCAGGGGATCAGGTACGCAACTTTGACATTACGGACCGTCTGTATTCATTAGCTGGGTGAACATGATGTGCCCTGTGTTCATGTGCGGTTTATTAAGATGTTGCATCCATATTTAGCTCTCGAGTAGCAAATCGACAAAACGATCCATGACCACATAGCTGTGATGTGTTCGTACCGTGTTTGTTACGCTTATAACAATATTGGATTAACAATATTTAGAAATCATGAACTTGTCAAGATTCTTTTTCGTCTTGTGAGTCATGTGACTACAAACCCACACGTCACAGTCACGTGACTATCCACGTGACAGTCACGTGATTATAAACAGCCTATCCTAAGACTCCTATCCTACAATGTAGAACTCTGCAATCTCATCTTTGATGAAAGCAGATTAGGATCGAAAGAAATGACAGGATTATGATTTCCTGCTTTTCATCCTATTTGATTTAAACACGTCAGCCATTAATCGGTCAACTGATTTACCGATCGATCGATATCGATCGATATCGATCGATTGATTGATTGATTGATTGGTTCCTACCTCTGGTGATGGCGGTTTGGGCTCCAGCCCGGCCTCTATCCGCTCCCGGCGCCTCTTGGCCTTCCCCTCCCAGTCGTACTTCTCCTTACTGATCTTCCCGTCCTTGATTCTCCGGCCGGACTTCGTCAGTCTGATGATGTTCCCGAACTCATCCACTAGAGGAGAGACATTGGATACGATTAGCTATTATCTAGGATAAAACGTCTACATAAATATCTGTATTATTCATATAATACATATAATTATTGACTTCCAGGAACGAATACGGGAATGTACTTACTGACTTCCCGGAACACCATTTTCTCAGCCTCCGCGCTGCCTACTGAGTCGTACTCTGTGTCTGCTGACTGAAATGCCGATAAAAGATACAAATTAATAAAAACAACATAAACAGGAAATTTGGCACATACGTCATAGAAAGATTCAAAGCCAGTACACAAATACATAAAGAAATATCAACGAAATATTGCAGTTTCCTCATGTATACATAGTTGTGTCGGTTTTACATTTGTGGTACATGTAAATGTAAGTTTGAATCTTCATCATACCTTTTGTCTGTATTTCCATTTCTTGTCTTTCTTCTTCTTAACTTTCTTTGTTCCTCTGTAAAGGAAAAATAAAAAAATTTAGAGCACTATTCTTGGCACCATTAACATTGATAAAGGTATAGAATTATTTTGGTTATATTTAGTTGAGTGCGGTGTATGACTCAATGGAATGTGGTCTGTAGATACCATTATCGATTGATTGATTTGTTGAACTTACACTTTGACTTTCTCTATTGTTCCGTCCGCTCTTATCCTCTCCTCGTAAATAGACTCTTCTGTCTCTGTTTCGCCTGTGAGGGAAGAAATATCAGAAACATATCGTGAGTCATGACAATGAAAGAGATACAAAATGTCACAAGATGGATTGATTACAATTACCATGCCATGTTGCTCCATATCTTCCAAAGACAAATTGGAGAGAAAAATTGACAGCACGTACTGCTAGAGCTGCTAAACCAGCCGCTCTTCTTCTTTTTCTTGTCCTTCTTTTTCTTAGCTGGAAATAAAACGACAAAAGAATACATGTTATTGATGTCATGTATTTGCCATGTAAAAAAAACTATTTACAAACGTACTAGTAATGCATTTCCTCTATCCAATTGTGAACTCTATCCAAACTTCATGCGTCAATGCGATATCGGAAATATCTATTCAAATGAAACTTGATAATTGTTCTTTATTGGACATTTCTGGTACTCACGCATTTTGTTTCCGTGTTCATCATAGACTGTCTCCTCAGAGCTGGAGCTGTAGGTGCCGTCCGCACGGGGCTTCTTGTCTTTCCCCTTCCGGCCTTTCTTACCCTTGTTCCACGGGTCATTACTGAGGGGCGGGGAAGAAAATAATTAGAGACTTTTGACAATCGTTTGTCGTCACAAAGTTTAAGTACTTGTAAAAGTCATTGCTGTTGTGTAATTAATTATTCTAACGTAGACGAATTAAAATATGTTCTGTCCCAACTGACTTATAATTGTTAGACCATGATTGATGGATTATCGATAAATTTGTCAATCATTATTGATTCATTGATTAATCCATCGCTCTATTGATCCATTGACTAATTATTGGTTGTGGTAGACAATAGCCTTCCGAGGAGTCATCGATATATTGCGTGATCGATCACAACATTGATACTTACGGGTCGTCATAGCCGATGTCCCGCCCGTCCTTCCTCATCTTGCCGTCCCGCCGGGAGCCCTTGCCGTACTTGACGGCCGTCTTCCCGTCGCCCCACGTGCTCTCGTCCGAGGAGGAGTAGGAGCCGCGCCGCCGCCGTCTCTCCTTCCGATCTTCTCTTCTTTCTTTCTGCTCCTCTCTCCTGAAGGAATTAATGAATGAGAGAATGAATGAGTAAATGAATAGATGATTGAATGAATAAATGGGCTAATGGATGAAGTCTTCCATACATGGGCTGACAAGAGATTGTTTTAAAATTGTTCTGCATGTTGGATATTGTGCATCACTGTCGAATGTTGCTGTTTTGCAAACATGTACTTGTACACCAGTCCTTTGTCAGCCAGCCCTGCTTCCAAACTCACCTTATTCTTCTGTCCTCCCTCCTCTTCTCCCTCGCCACCTTCCTTTCTTCCCTCTTTTTCTCATGTGCCTCGATCTTCGCCTTGTTCCGCTCCCTTCGGGCCTGTCGTTCCTCCTCGGTAATGTTCGGGTCATCTTCGTCCTCCAGGTCTAAAACCGAGCTAACCGTCGTCCTAGAGTAGAGGACAGAAATATTACATTTATTGCAAACTAATGGGACGGCTATGTGAATAAATATCAAACCTAATGAAAGCGAGGCAATCTAAAAACTTAAGTCAGTTGCATAACCATTGCTTCCTCATCATAGCATTCTATCATCAGCATTAGCATAGGAAAGTTCTTCAATGTTTGCTTTGTCGTTACACAGGCTAGGAGTACCATGACTGATAATACACGTGTGTTTAATGAAGAATGCGTAAATTCCTTCTGAGCTGACAGAAAAACGTAAGTGTGACATACGCTGAGTCGCTGCTGACGGAGGTACTGTCCGAGCTGACGCTCCGTCTCCGCCTGCCGTGCCGGTCCCGGCCGTGCCCCCTGCCGCGGCCACGTCTGTCCCGCTTCTCCTTCTTCTTCTTCGGCAGCGCTCTCCCCTCCGAGTCGTACTCCGTCGACTCGTAAGAACTGAGAAGAGGAGAAGGTTAGGTCTAAGCTCAGGCTGGGAGGAATTCATTCTTTGAAGCGATCACAGGCAAAACTTCCAAACGAAATATTCATTTATATACGTATAGTTAGATAAGAGAAAACAAGTATCATGTCCGTTTAGAAATTGACCTAATTTTAATGAAAATCTTACCTAGAACTATAATAGGAGCTGGAATAACCTGGAAAAGAAAAAAAAAATCATTAAAACAAATTACCCTGAAAACAATGTAAAACAAATTTTAACAGGTTTTGTCCTTGGTGCTGAAGTATGTATCGGACATGCAATGCACAGTATGTACGGGTCCACAGTACTAGAGAACCATGCACGCTACCGGTTCTGCTATTCTTACTTTAGAAAAATCACATATTGCCACGACCTTCAATGCTACACTCCTGGTTACTGAAACAAAGAGACTTACTACTGCCGCTGCCGCGCCTCCTCCGCCGCCGCCCTCCTCCTCTGGACCTGCTGCGGCGACTCCTGCCGTCCTTCCCGCGCCGGCCTCGCCGCCTGCCGCCCCCGCGGGACCCCGACCGGCTACTGTAGTCGCTGTACTCACTGTAACTGTTGCCCTGACTGTCTACCCGCCTGTGGCGGCGGCGCCGGTGCCCTCGGGAGTCACGTGATCCCCTGGATCCTGACCTGCGTCTCCGCCCGCGTCTCCGCCGGCCTTTCCCTGATCCCCTATCGCTCTGTGGGGTTAGAATGGCGACACAATAAGATTTTACTTAAAGCATACAACTTCTATTACAGCGTTCAGAGCTTTGTTTTTCCGGACTGAACATACTAACACATTCTTTACCACTCTCTCATTGGATAAGGGTTATAATGCAACACAAGTTCGCTTTATTGTCACTAAGTGATTTCACAATCGTGTTCCTCAAGGATTCTTGTTGAGTTTGAGTTGTTGAAGACACAAAGCAGTTTTGTATCACGTTGACGGAACTAGCTTGTACGGTTTGCAATGTCACGATATTAAAACACAACAGGTTCTGTGCCTTCTTTGAGTGTACCAAGATTTTTAACCTCCTTGAGTATATACAGGCATTCATAAAGAATTGACCACAACTCACATAAGAAGAGTATGAAGAGTAAGAGCCCTTGCTGTCCCTTCTCCGTCTGCCGCCGCCGCGACGTCGATGTCGGCCTCTGCCGCTGCCACCACTGCCGCTGCGAGATCTTCTTCGTCTCCTAGAACCGACACAACAAATGCGCATGAATATAGATTCGTCTATTGGCCAAGCTAAGAAGGTAAGTTCCTCTAGGCTAAAGCTAGTTTCGTCGACAGTGTATCACATCTTGTCACGTACATTGTAAGGACAGCAACCCTTTTCGCAAGACGCAGATCGCCAAATCTCACCTGTGCTTTTTCCGTGTGACGTTTCCCTGGCTGTCGTAGCTGTATGTGCTGACCACGCTTGCGCTGTCCCCGCTGCCATGGCGACGGTGGCGACGACGCCCTCCGTGCCGGCTGCCGCTCCTGCTGCTGCCGCCGCTGCCGTGGCCCCGGTGTCGGCGACCTGCAAAAAGGGGACAGCAACAAAAGAACACGTTTAGAACACTGGATTTAAACTCAGTGGCTTCGTCAGACAGAACGCCATTTGTTGTTGACTACTGAGTCTAGCTGTCTGACCTGCCAAAGTCAAAATTGATGGCTTCAGAAAATGGTAACACTAAAAAAATTTGCTCGCAATCAGCACAAACAACGGCTATATCAAAACACGTACACACAGCCTGTTATGTAGACGACCATTTCAAGCGCGTCCACAATTTGCAAGACAAGCAGTCCTGCATCTGTCCCGTGCTGTGTCCTACGTGTGCCACTTCGTAAAAGCATTGAGTTGCGCCATTTTGTGACGAAACATCTTACCATGGGTCAATTAAAAGTTCCATTTTTGCTCAGTCTGTGCAGCCTCGCCACTCCAAAGCAATCTATGTCTCACCTCAAGGCTATAACCCTTCCCTACCCCTAACGTTAAGGCAACACATTTTGTTAGGCAAGCAAGTGGCACTTGGAGCACAGAAAAGGGCGTTTGCAGGTAAAGTCCGCATCTCCGAAAACGTCTTCAGAAACAAGCGGCGTTAGTGGAGCACAACAATTAGAGCAAGCAAAGTTCTTAGTAGTCACTCTTCAACTGTTAATTACTTTTAAGTTTGTTTGTTGTTTAGTGTTATTGTTTATTTTCGAGGATGACGGACTTTAGCTGCAAAAGCCCCACCGGTTGGTCTGGTGGGGGGAGATGCGGACTTTCACCCTCGGCCGTTAGTCGATGC